TAAAACCCCTAAAATCTGTTGCAGACGAGCCCATGCTCCGAAACTACTGAACCGATTTCGATGAAACCTTCACCATTAGACGTGCCGTAGTCTGAAACGGTGCCGTTTTTGATAATTTTTTTATTGGTCCACCCTAAGTGGTCCAAATCGGTCCAAAACCCCTAAAATCTGTTGCAGACGAGCCCATGCTCCGAAACTACTAGACCGATTTCGACGAAACCTTCACCATTAGACGCACCGTGGTTTGAAACGGTGCCGTTTTTTATAACTTTTTGATTGGTTAACCCTAAGCGGTCCAAATCGGTCCAAAACCGCTAAAATCTGTTGCAGACGAGCCCATGCTCCGAAACTACTGGACCGATTTTGATGAAACCTTCATCATTAGACGCGCCGTGGTCTGAAACGGTGCCGTTTTTGATAATATTTTGATTGGTCCACCCTAAGTGGTCCAAATCGGTCCAAAACCGCTAAAATCTGTTGCAGACGAGCCCATGCTCCGAAACTACTGGACCGATTTCGATAAAACCTTCACCATTAGACGCGCCGTGGTCTGAAACGGTGCCGTTTTTCATAATTTTTTGATTGGTCCACCCTAAGTGGCAGGGCATATTTTAACATACTGACTGCGTCCCATTTTGGGACGCAGCCCCCTGCCTTTGGGACGTAGCACCCGCGAAATTTGGACTACTGCGTCCCACACTGAAATGTCACGGTTTCAGCGGAAAAGTGCAAGCAATAATAATTAGCATGCCTCGGTCTTTTAGTATGCAATAGATGTTGCCTTTCTGATTGCTTTGTGCCCTGATTTACTATGCACCTAAGCACATACATGCGCTCTCCAGTCCTTGTGCCCTGCCCTATCCTAGGGTCGTACACCTTGTTATGTCCTGCCCTACTATACCCCTAGGATATGTGACCTGCCCAGTGCCCTGTCCTAAGGTCTTGTACCTTGCCCTGCCCTTCCTTCAGGCCCTGCGCCCTGCTCTGCATTCAGGCCATGTGACGCTCTCTGCCCTGCCCAGTGCCCTCAAACCCGATACCTTGTTGTCTTCCCGTCTTAAGGACCCGTTCGGTGCTGCTGCCGGTTCGGGGCTGGGTCCGGATTTCGGGAAAATTGTGCATATCTAGTCCTGTTCCTTGCCCTGCCCTCAGATCCAATAATACTGATATTGATTTTAAAAAAAATCAAATGTAAGACTTTAGCTAAAGCTGGAGAAGATTATCCATCCCTGGACCTGGGCGGAACCCAGGGAGGCGAGGCGAGTTATCACAAGCAACATAAGTGTCACCTTTAATCCCCTCCGCTCCCCCTCCCCTGTGGCACCATCCGCCGCCCACCACCCATTCATGATTCACATTCGCGTAGTCGCCGTGCTGGACCTGTCGGAGCCGAGGCGGACGTGCGAGCCTGGATGTTAGCCTGACCCGGGCGGAATCGGCGCCCGCCCTTCCGGGGATTCCCGGCCATTGAAACCAAACCAAGGCCGTATAAGAGAGGTAACTAGAATCATCCCGCGATTTCCAATGGACCGGTCGCTAAGCATTAGCGTGACGTCACTGGTGGAGACCGGGCGGCGCCCAGCTCCAAGCTGTACGTCGGGTACATTTGGCACCGTATAGTTGCTATTACTGAACGACGAACGTAACGACAACTAATGACTCTTAATAACTTTTGTACTCACCTAAAGCTGATTTCGTTGCCGGTACATTGCCGACCCGAGCCCCAGGGTTGACAATCATGGGATATGGGTCGGATGGGCGACCTCGCGACGGGAGGAGGAACGATTGCAATTGTTGTGTTCCGCACCGCCGCGCCGATTGCATTCTCTATCTGCACCCAGGGGAGGGGAAGCAGGGGGCAAGTGCCCCATCGGATCAGGGGGCCTCTCGGGCCAGAGGGGCCTTGCGACGCCAATTGGCGGCTGAGGGTCCACGCCGGCATCTTTCGACTCAGAAGGGCCCCACAGGGCTCGGAAGAACACCTTATGTGCTCCGAAGAGCCACACTTCTCTCCATAAGAGCCACACACCGGCTTTTTAGTGTCCCTTGTCGGCCTTTGAGTGCCCCTTGCCGGCTTCTCAGGGCCTATTGGCGACCTCTGAGGGCTACTTGCCGGCCTCTGAGGGCCCTTACCGGCCTATCAGGGACCAGCAGCTCTAAGGGTTCCAGACACGCCTGCGATGACCCCCTAAACCAGTGGTTGAAGGCCCCCACAACGGCTCCTGCGAGGGCCCTCACCGGCGGCTGTGAATGCCCCACACCGGTGCCTAGCTGAGGGCCCAACACTGCCACCTCTGAGTGCAACCGGCACCCCTAAATGAGGTCCCGAAACCAGTGCTTCTTAAGACCATATATCGGCGGCTCTGGGGGCTCAACGCCGGAGCCGCATCGGACGGCCACTCACCGGTGACTTTTGAGGGCCCACACCGACGACTCTGAGGGCCCCACTGGCGTCTGAGTGTACCTTGCTGGTCTCTAAGGACTCCGCAGGGCTCCCGAAGGCACCGCAGACCTCTTGAGAGCCCCTTGTCGGTCTCTGAGAACCCCTGTCGGCCTGTAAAGGGTTCGAGCCAGCAGCTCTAAGGGTCCCACACCGGACTGTGACATCCCCACACTGCAGTGTCTCTGAGGGCCCACAACGGCAACTGTGAGGACCCTCACCAGCGCCTCTGAGGGCCCACAGCGGCACCTCTGGGGGCCCGCACCAATGCCTCTGAGAGCATCACACCGGTATCTGTGAGGGCCCACACCAGTGCCTCCAATGGCTTCATAACCGGCGGCCCTGAGGGCCCTACACGGGTGATTTTGAGGGGCGTACCGAAGGCACCACACAATTCCTTAGTCTCGCTGAGCTTCTATCCCAATCCCATACCGGCTTCTATCCCAATTCCGGCTCAAGTAATTATCAGCCCCCTCCCCCCTCCATGGGTCAGCAGCGCCGCGCCGGTGTCGGGGGCTGGCCCCCGACACCGCCATCGGGGCAGCAGTCGGCCACGCGCACTCAGTGGTTAGCGCTTAGCACCGGCGGCTAGCGCACGCCCGGTGTGTTATCGGCCGTGAGCCGCTCCAAAACGGCTGCAGTAACTGGTCGATATAAGTAGTAAGCAGATGCAGAGATGCAGGTGGATAAGGTATGTGCCCTTTCCGATCGAAGCATGTGCCCTATGCCACCTTTGGGACGCAGTAAAAAATCCTTAAAATATGCCCTGCTAAGTGGTCCAAATCAGTCCAAAATGCCTAAAACCCGCTTGTACTTTGTCAGAGTCTGGATAGATTTCTGCAGCACAGAGGTGCCCCAAACCCATTGTCATGCATTTTGCTTTCCAAACTAGAGCAAAAATGCATGCTTATTGGGCCTGGGGCACCTCCGCGCTGCGGAAACCAGCTCATCGGTTGACTACGTGAAAACGTATTTTTGGGCTGTACTTGAACCGATTTGGACCACTTAGGGTGGACCAATCCAAAAATTATCCAAAAGCGGCACCGTTATAGACCACACCGCGTCGAATGATGAAGGTTTCATCCAAATCGGTCCAGTAGTTTCGGAGCATGGGCTCGTCTGCAACAGTTTTTAGGTGTTTTGGACCGATTTGGACCACTAAGGGCGAACCAATAAAAAAATTATCGAAAACGGCACCGTTTTACACCACGGCGCGTCGAATGGTGAAGGTTTCATCCAAATCGGTCCGGTAGTTTCGGAGCATGGGCTCGTCTGCAACAGTTTTTAGGGGTTTTGGACCGATTTGGACGACTAAGGGTGGACCAATCGAAAAATTATCAAAAACGGCACCGTTTCAGACCACGGCGCGTCTAATGGTGAAGGTTTCATCGAAATCGGTCCAGTAGTTTCGGAGCATGGGCTCGTCTGCAACAGATTTTAGCGGTTTTGGACCGATTTGGACCACTTAGGGTGGACCAATCAAAAGATTATCAAAAACGGCACCGTTTCAAACCACGGTGCGTCTAATGGTGAAGGTTTCGTCGAAATCGGTCCAGTAGTTTCGGAGCATGGGCTCGTCTGCAACAGATTTTAGGGGTTTTGGACCGATTTGGACCACTTAGGGTGGACCAATCAAAAAATTATCTACAACGGCACCGTTTCAGACTACGGCGCGTCTAATGGTGAAGGTTTCATCGAAATCGGTCCAGTAGTTTCGGAGCATGGGCTCGTCTGCAACAGATTTTAGGGGTTTTGGACCGATTTGGACCACTTAGGGTGGACCGATCAAAAAATTATTAAAAACGGCACCGTTGCAGACCACGGCGCGTCTAATGGTGAAGGTTTCATCGAAATCGGTCCAGTAGTTTCGGAGCATGGGCTCGTCTGCAACAGATTTTAGGGGTTTTGGACCGATTTGGACCACTTAGGGTGGACCAATCAAAAAATTATCAAAAACGGCACCGTTTCAGACCACGGCGCGTCTAATGTTGAAGGTTTCGTCGAAATCGGTCCAGTAGTTTCGGAGCATGGGCTCGTCTGCAACAGATTTTAGGGGTTTTGGACCGATTTGGACCACTTAGGGTGGACCAATAAAAAAATTATCAAAAACGGCACCGTTTCAGACTACGGCGCGTCTAATGGTGAAGAATTCATCGAAATCGGTTCAGTAGTTTCGGAGCATGGGCTCGTCTGCAACAGATTTTAGGGGTTTTAGACCGATTTGGACCACTTAGGGTGGACCAATTAAAAAATTATCAAAAACGGCACCGTTTCAGACCACGGCGCGTCTAATGGTGAAGGTTTCATCGAAATTGGTTCAGTAGTTTCGGAGCATGGGCTCGTCTGCTTTTACGGGGGTGTATGGTTCTGGACCATTTTGGTCCGATTGGTCCAGTCAGAGTGAACCAATCGCCAAAAAACGAAAAACGGCACCTATATAAGTTCCCTGCTATTGAATGGTGAAAGAATTATCAAAATCGGTCCAGTAGTTACTGAGCATGGGCTCGTCTGCTAATCTCGTCTGCTTTTTAGACACTCCCCTAAAACAGGCACAGAGCATGACTTTTGAGCCTTGCAATTTTGACAGATTTCAGGGCCCTGTTTCACCAGTGCATGCTGCTATCAAATTGCGCGAGCTAACGTAATGTGGTGACGCCACAGTAATGACGTTTTGTGTAATCCGTGAGCTTTTTCATAGCTACGTTTGGAACAGAGTTGCTGTGTCGTTGAATGTGTTTGATTTGATCGCACGGCCGTGAAGATGTTAGCAGCAATATTTGATGACATCACACATTTTGACGACGCCATGGTTTGTAGATGTTTCCATGGAAACCCAATTTGACACCTGCTATTCACCACTGAAACAGGGGACGCTGGTGAAAACAGGGCGCCGGAGGGCATATTAGTCACGTGACATTTGGAACTTCTCCCGCTCCAAGGGCCTTCTATATGCCAAACATCACGTGTAAATTTCACGAACCTTGATCAAATTGCCCCAGGCGCCCTGTTTTCACCGTCGTCCGAAACAGGGCCCCGACTTCGGACCCTTGGCAGAGCTGACTGACTCTTACTCCGCAGCCCTGCCCAGCTTGGGACAGTTTCATTATCGACAGTTTTCTTGTGTACTAGAGGTAACACTTATGCAAAGCTGGAATATACTCCACTTGCACTGCTGCTGCCTGCTATTGTGATTTGTGAATAGTGATCTGTAGCTTGTACCTATGTATGGTGTTACAAATCTATGTTTACCTACCATTTACCACAGCACCATTCTCATTTCCCTCATGTGTTCAGTTGTAATTTTAACATCTCATTGATAGGTTTCTGCTGATCTGTGCCAACAATGGTGAAGCTTTCAGTGGAGCTGATTCAGCAGGCCTACCAGCACATCAACCCTGTGCGAGATCGGGAGCTCGACTTAAGGGCCTACAAGATACCCGTCATTGAAAATCTAGGTGCCACACTGGTAAGTACATCACTTTGTAACAGCCTCCATTGAGATTGAGAGCATCTTTCTCATGTTCAAAAGCTGCATATGTTTAGCTTGAAAAAGTTCATGTTTTGGGCTTTGGCTGTTACCTGTGTAGTATGTTGAAAATGTGACCTTTTTAACTCATTTTCTGGATTTTCATCAATTACATTAGTTTTCTCCTGTGTTTTCTTTTTTGTCTTTCATTGTGATCATGTGCTTGATCAACTGATATCAACTTCTTCTCACAGGATCAGTTTGATACAATTGATTTCTCTGAGAATGAAATCAGGAAGCTAGATGGATTCCCACTTCTGAAGAGGCTTAAGTGCCTCATGATGAACAATAACAGGATAGTGTGAGTTACCAATCTGCTATTTGTATGTTTTGATGAGATGTTCTGCCATTTTTGACATTCTGACAGGTTAGATGTTCTCTGAACACTTACACCTACTTTTGGTAGAAATTATGTACTTATCAAATTACATACTTTATCTGGAATATTGTAATTATTTCATTCTTGCTGAATATCATTTTGCTTTTCAGGGTTTTCAATTCCCATACGTTTAATTGATCTTACTAATATACTGTCAGCCATGTAAGCAAACTTTTGATTGATAGTCTGTCCCAACTCCCAAGAAAAATGAGGTCACAATTTGTGCATCATCATTGCCAGATGCTTCCTTTCTCTCAAAATGGAGTTTTGTTTGGTTGACCACCAGTTTGGCTCATTATTGCACATTTTCTCCTATGTTGTCCACTATGTTGCACAGCATGCTCAGCTTCCCTTATGTTCTGCTCACCTCTCACCGTGCACAGGAGGATCGGCGAGACGCTGCACGAGCAGGTGCCGAACGTGCAGACAGTGCTGCTGACCAACAACAGCCTGCAGGAGCTGGCCGACCTGGACCCGCTCGGCAGCCTGCCGCGACTCACCACACTCAGCCTCATCGGCAACCCGGTGGTGATGCGACAACACTACCGGCTCTACACCATCTTCCGGATGCCCCACTTGCGCGTGCTCGACTTCCGGCGCGTCAAACAACAGGTGCGCCCACCGGCTGACACGGCTCACTCGCCGGTGCATGTGTGGTGTGTTCAGCAAGACCGTTTCGTAGACTGAGTACGCCGTTAGGGCGTGCGCACCTCGAGCATACAGTCATTATGGATGTACGAGGTGCGTGCATGTCTCAAGGCATGCTTTTCAGCCGTGTCCAAGCATATGGTCGCTGGGTAGTTCATTTTTATATCATAAATTGATTTTTCGTTTGGTCGTCAGAATAGCTTTTCCTTGGTGTGGTGAGACTTTAATAGTTTGGCACGTGATACTGTTTTGTTAGGAGCTACATATACTATGAGCGTTATACGCCTCTGTGGGTCTGTTTTTATTTTGGGTTCTGCCTATGACGCCACGCTGTACGCTAATTTAGCTTCTAAAAACGGCATCTTATACTACTTGGAAACACACTGCTAATAGGGTCATACCGTTTGTACCGTCTCTCGTCGTTAATTTGCACAGTCGATCGATGACTACATCTGACTGACCCTTGTGCTGGTTTCAGGAGCGGGAGCAGGCAGACGCCCTGTTCAAAAGCAAAAAGGGCAAACAGATTCAGAAGGAGATCTCCAAACGGTCAAAGACGTTTGTACCCGGAGGCGGCCTGGAGGCGGCAGTCCAGGCAAGAGGTGAGTGCTGCCCACTCTCAGCCGTATTGCCGTAATCGGTCCGGAATATTGGGATAGCGGATATTGTATATGAAGTGGATGTGACCAAGATATTAATGCATCATGTTTTACTCTCAATCGCTTGTCCAGTGTAATATTGTTTCGTTTGTCTTTTCTTTTCTTTTGTAACCTCGTTGCTAGCACCGGGCGTTACTATTACATCGCAAAGTTTGTCTTTTGCCTGTCCACGAGCCCTATGGGACGACTGCTATCTGTCCTTTACGTCCAGTCTCTGAGCGCTGGGAGGTGACCGCTCCCGTGTCCGTGCAGGTGCCGTTCCCTCGGGTCCGTCGGCAGAGGACACGCGGCTCATTAAGGAGGCGATCGCTCGCGCCACCTCGCTGCAGGAGATCGAGCGGCTGAACCAGATCCTCCGCTCTGGCGCCGTGCCGGGCCCAGACGTCATGGAGGGCATCCGCAGCGGCCAGCCCAGTGAGTCGACCCGCCCGGCTCAGTTTTCTGACTACTGACAGTACTGTAATGTATGCTATGTCTAAAGAATGTCTTCGAGCGTCTGTCAACGTTGAGCAGTTAGTTCCGTCGCGATTTCCTTTCCCGATGAAACTAATTATTTTTGTCGTGTTGCCTTTGTTACAGTGGAGGAAGGGTTCTGAGCGTCTCTCACAAATTTCTGCGATGTCTGGGCGGGTGCCCGGGCCGGAGCCCCCACCGCTGGCCACTCAGCGATGGTCCGGCTCATCACAGTGGGGCGGCGGGACGCTGGGTGACAGTCCCGCCCGTCGCAGTGGGGCGGCGGGACGCTGGGTGACGGTCCCGAGCGTCACAGTGGGGCGGCGGGACGCTGGGTGACGGTCCCCCTTGCCGCCGGCCGGGACCGAGGCGCTCCGATGAGCGGCCGTAACCGCCGTGTGCTCCACCTGGACCGTCGTCCTCTGATTCATCTCATCAGCGTCAGTATAATACACATGCAGATACGTCTTGTTCGAGCCGACTTTGTGGGGAATTGTGACCGGGATCGCGGGCTCCCCGACGTTACGCAAAATATCGACACAAACCACGTAGTCGATGTTTGATCGCTGGTTGCATACCAATTATCAACCGTAGCTCGCAGTGTCTCGTAGCTGGCAACGCTGCTTGTATCAAACCAACACAAGCTGAAAAGGTTCAAGGGAAACATGCGCACGAGGTGCCTAGGGATGTATCTAGATCTATTACGTAGCTGCCATAGACATTTGAAACCAAGTGCCGTACGGAACCTGGGCTCCCACCGCGACCGCTAGATACTGAGCACTGCACCCAAGGCCGTGCAAAAGCGTACACCCATCGCACTGTGGCTGAACTATATTGTAATGATTGTTAATTAACCCTTCCTCTAAGAAATCTTATTGTAATGCTTGTCACTAACCCCTCCTCGAAGAAATCTTGCATATCGGGTGATGGCTCTGTGCCGCGCACTGGCGGATCTAGGGGGCGGATGGGGGCATCGGGGTCCCTCAGCGTCCGAAATTGACGTTTTTTTTAGAATGGAAAAAATGAAATAACCTTTAAGTATGTGTTACTTAAATCACACATCAGTGGGTAAAAATCGAAATCCTAGGAGTTGTTTTTGACTTTAACAAATTTTTCCGGGGTATGTGTCCGTCCCCCTGGCCCCTCCGCAGCGTCTAAAGCCGGGTTCACACCGGTTTTCCGGTCCGGAAAAATTCCGTCTGCCGGGCCGGCACCAAAATGTTGAAATTGTCGCTAGATGTCAAAAAAGTCGCTAGAACCGGAAAACCGGAAAGTTGAGCCAGAAATGTCATAATCATCAACCATCAAGTACGATAAGTAGGTACCAAGCAATCTCGCGAATTATTTTGAAATCGAACATACTTGTGTGACGGCTTTACAAGTCCCTGATGCAGTTCCACCCAACCGAAAATCATCCATACTTCACTGGTAGGTATATTAGCAAGATTAATACAATTTAACATTTACAGCATGCGGGCTGGGTATCGACAAAAAGACACTAATAAATTTCAATCGCGCTTTGGCTGTTGGTTTAAAAACACTTGCGAACAAAGAGGAATTGAGGGCTGGGCAGGGCGCATTAGAGACGGCGAGCTTGATATTACGCTTGCTGATGTAGATGGCTGGGTCTCAAAATCGGTCATCTGACTGTCACTGAACTCTACTGCCATAACCCGCGCCCCGCTGGGGGTCCTAAATTTCCACGCCTTGCTGGTGGGGGTGTTTAACATCCCCCCTTTTAACTCGGCTCATGGGCCACGTAGCGATACGGGGAAGGCGGCGTTCGAAAGAGTGTCAAAATTAATGAGGAAATTAATTCGGTCACTTTTTTTGTCAAATCAAAGGTCAGGTCACCAGAGGTAATGGAAAGCCGAATTTCACGGATTTTCAGGTCGAATGTCGACGATTTACAACAAGCCAACGCATAACTTGGCATCAATTTTCTCCCATTGACTTATAATGGGGGGGGGTCACAAAATTGACCTGACCTTAGGTCACCGATATCAAAATTCCGAGATAGTTATTTATTTAAATTGTGTACATATTGTTGCCCTTATCAATCGCTGAGAGTTTCAAAGAGGTCGGTCGCTCGATGTAGCATATGGAAGACGTTGAAACTTTGTATGAGGTGAGGTCACTTGAAGTGACCTGGTGACCTGACCTTAAGTGACCTTGGTCTACAATTTTTACATGTGCAGAAAAGATGCATGATAAGGATGTGCCAAAAACAGCCGCCGTTTTTGAGATGTTCGCGAAAAACCACAGGGAGGGTTCAAATATCCCCCCCCCCCAGCAGGGCGCGGGATAATATCCTTGGCATTCAGTACCATCGTATTTCCTGAATCTTCTACTTGCGATTGAATGGCAAAACTGCCTCCACCCTCCCGAGCTGCTATGTGCTTGTGTAGGAGGGCATCGAGGGTAGAGAAGTGTTGTCAGCGCGTCTTGTAGAATGTAGATTTCAGAATCTGCTCGGCTGGCTCCACTTCGTAGACGACGGAAGTTAGCAATACGTACATTGTGCTACCTGTCCTGCGGCCGGCTCCAGCGCTTGATAATCTCTTCTGCAGATACTGGCTCCGCTCCTTCTACAACCAGCGCGTCCGCAATGTTGTTCCACAAATTCGCCCTTTTCACCGCTTCCTTATAATATTTATCTTTTTTATTATAAAGTCATGGATATTTTCCAACCAATGAAATTAATTTATAATTTGAAAAGGCCATGAGTCATGTGGAATACAAAAACAGAAATGTAGCTATCACTCCGTTTGAGATGCAAATGCCAATGCAAATGTTTTGAAATAAAAATGAAACGCCGTCAAATTTACGCTTGAATTTTATATTCTCGTGAAAAATCGCGAGACTATTAGGGCACCGTTGGTTAAATTGGTCCTGTAGCGCTGAAACATAACATTATTTCCCTCGTGCCTTAATTTCATATCACAAACGGTGGCCATCCGGCAAGGCAAAAGTTGAGATGATTTCAACTTTTTGCCGGACCGGAAAATCTGGCTCTCCGGCCTGCCGGACCGGTCAAAAGAAGTTGCCAGATTTGCCGGTTCACACCAGTTTTCAATTTTCCGGTACGGAATTGGCCATTTTTCCGGCCCGGCAGACGGAATTTTGCCGGTCCGGAATCCGGTGTGAACCCGGCATAAGACTGCCTTTCGATCCCTTAGTGATATGTGAAGGAACAGCCAACAGGTAATTGTATGGTTGAAGAAATAGCCTGGGGTCGCCGTTGAAGCCGACGTTTACGAAGAAACACATTTCTTAGTTTTACCTGGAGAGTTTATTTCGGTTAAAAAAAACTTTCTAATGACGTCATTTTTTCTTACGTCATTTCCCCAAATACAGGCGAATGACCTAACGATTTCTCACGTCCTTGAATTTCACGCGGCGTGCGTGTTGTTTGTTGCGTTTATGGCGTTTGGGTCAATATCAATATGGCGATTGGGGTTGAAAGTGGGTCAAATGCATATTGAGAAGTACTGCCTCAACAGTGCAAGAAAGTGATTGCCGTCATTTCAATCTGGTAAGAAGTTCTGTATACCCTGTGACCGTCGTCTCCGTGGTGGTCGGAGACTGCGCCGATCGGCACTGACACGTGCCTCATGCTCCCTCTTTTACTCACTGTTTTACTCTCGTTGGTGAGCGGCGAGCTAAATCAAGAATTGAAATGTGATGTCTGATTTGGATCTCCATTAAAAAGGTCACATTTAACAACCCATGTCAAGTCAGGGTCTCTACAATTTACTCTTTGTTGGCGTAGTGGTTTGGTGACCCTTTTATGGTCAGGTCATTGACCTTGCCACAAAGGGTAGTCGTGAAGGTCAGTGAAGGCATTTGAAACCCTTGATAATCTGGTGTTTGTCATGCATTCATGATAGCTGGTGTTTGATTTAGTTGTTTTGTTGCTTCTATAATTGCTTCAACACTTTCCAGGTTCCCATGACCCACAGGCTGCACATTTTAGGTAGGTACAAATTCAGTTGGGCAAACTAGGCGGTGGGAATCAAAATATGGAGGCATCAAAATATTGATTCTCTTTGACCATATATGGGCATACGTGCAGACCATCACAGGAACGTCAATTCTTCAGCAACCGGCTATAATTTCAAGATAGCTTCTTCACAAAATGAAGAACAACGTTGAAGCTACCCGCCAGGCACGAAACAATAGCCCTAACCTCTTTGGTTAGTTAAGGAAAGCGTCTTAAAAATAATCAAGATATTGATTCATCACGGCGGCTAATCCCGGCGAGAATCAATATTTTGATTCCGCAAACAGCTGGCTAATCATTATTTTGATTCTGAAATCAGCTGGTTTATCAATATATTGATTCTGCAAACTGACTTTCTGCAGGCGTACTTAACTCTTCAAATTGATTTATGGAATGTTTCTTGTGTGCAAATAATGCAAATTCAATAAATTCATGAAGATATTATCAGCACAGGATCGTGTAATTTTTTTTCTAGACCTTATTCCCACGGTAGACCAGGGATTTTCAGCACTCGCCCTGGCTCCCTGCTCAAAGCTGCAAGCCTTCGAGGGAATGCGTGAAGGGAGCCGTGCTGACCTTTGTATAGGGGTTGTACTGAGTCGGAGCCGGAACCGAAGCCCGACCATTTTACTCGGAGCCGGAGCCGGAGCTGGAGCCGATTTTTTTCCTCCGGAGCCGAAGCCGTCTGACATTTTCACGGCCCCACATCCCTGCTTTGTAGTATTGATTTTGAGTAAAAAAAAAGTTAACATATCGTCTTTCACGTGTTCATGAATGTGTTTCTACGCATCTGTATCCCGTCCCATTTCTGTGGAGTACAGTAAGAGATATTTCGCCGAACGATACACTCAGCCCGTTGCACAAATTGCACAATTTGAATGAAAATATGATACACGGATGTACTTGCAGTCGCAAATAATACGATGATATTCATAACACATTTCACAACGATCCCTGCAATTGCCACACATTTGCCATCACAAAGCCCTGTCGTTGATGCTCACATCCTATGCAAAGCAATACTCACTTTTAGGACACGTCTCTTATTCAATATGGCTACGTATTTGCAAAACATGCAGTTAATAATATTTGAAACAGACCTAACCAATAAGACATACCGTGGACAGGTAAGAAAAAACAAATAAACGTCTGGAGAATGACCTCAACGTCTCGATGTTGCCTAATTACTGAGAGCAATTTTCGGTTTCGAACCAAATACATGAAATAAATATAAACAAAATTTGTACAGATACACTCAATATAGGGTTTATGATTAGCACGGCTACCTAAAACATCAATCCTGTCAGGTTGAGCCACTTATGTCCACACCCAAAGCAGGTCGCTTTGGAACACCACAAGATCCCATAGTACCACCGAAAACGGTCACCAATTGGTCTACTGATCAGCATCTTCAGAACATTCTCGACCGAAAAGCTATCAGTCCTGTCTGTGTTTTGGTTCGCTTCAT